TGACATCCAAACAGTTGAAAAGGAATGTCTAACCAGTTGAAAAGGAATGTCTCACCAGTTAAACAGGGATGTGTAACCAGTTAAAACAGGAACGTCTAACCAGTTGAAACAGGAACGTCTAATCAGTTGAAAAATGAATGTCTAACCAGTTGAAAAAGGAACATCTAACCAGTTGAAAAAGGAAGGTCTAACCAGTTGAAAAATCAAAAACGCTATTCAAGAGCACTAACCACTGCCAGATCACAATACTATTCAAACGTTATAAACAACAACCCTGGAAATTCAAAACAACTTTTCTCCATAGTAAACAAACTCATCAAACCAAAGACCAAAGTCTGCAATAACCAGTCAGAACACGAGTGCAATAAATTCATGGAACATTTCACCACTAAGACAGACAAGATCCGTACCTCACTCTCTGCTAGTGGCAACCTCATCCGAGGCTGCGCAGTAGCAGACTCAGGAGGTGGCTTCTCTCAGTTCACCATTGCTACTGAGAGAGAAGTTGAGGGAACTGTGCGTAAAATGCGGCCCTCCTCTTGTCCCCTTGATCCATTCCCCACCCCTCTGATCAAATCCAATGCCTCTGCATTAAGCCCACTTATCACTGCCATAATAAATCAGTCCCTTCAGAGCGGCCACATCCCACCCACACTAAAAACAGCTATCATTCGGCCTCATCTTAAAAAACCATCTCTGGACCCCGACATCTTGGCTCACTACCGCCCCATCTCGAACCTCCCTTTCTTGTCAAAGGTCATGGAAAAGGTTGTTTCCGCCCAACTTCAGGACCACTTGAAACACAATAACCTCTACAAAAAATTCCAGTCAGGCTTCCGATCGCACCATAGCACAGAAACAGCACTGGTCAGAGTCACCAATGACCTCATGCTGGCCTCTGACCAGGGCTTTCCATCACTACTCCTTCTCCTGGACCTCACAGCAGCATTCGACACCATAGAACATTCAATTCTCCTTCATCGCCTTCATACTATAATTGGTCTCTCTGGCACCACTCTGAGATGGTTTGGGTCCTATCTCACTGATAGAGCTGAGTATGTGGCCTTGGGGGAGTCTAAATCCCAGACTCACACTGTCTCCTGTGGAGTCCCACAGGGGTCGGTTCTTGGGCCGACCCTCTTCAACATCTATATGCTCCCCCTGGGCCACGTCATCGGCAGGCATGGCATGTCCTTCCACAGCTATGCCGATGACACTCAGCTCTATGTGAGACTGGACCCAGCCTCTCCCTCATCCACCCCCGCTGCACTCACCTCCTGCCTGGAGGAGATAGAGGCGTGGATGTCTCAAAACTTTCTCCAGCTAAACAGCACTAAAACAGAGGCTCTACAAATTGGCACCCCCCACCAACTTCGTTCCCTGTCTGTAAACTGCATTAATTTCTCTGGTCATACCATCCCCCCCTCCTTCTGTGTTACAAACCTCGGTGTCAGGTTTGACTCCCACCTCACTTTTCATCCACACATCCAACATATCTCCAAAACTGCTTACTTTCACTTAAGAAACATTGCCAAACTCCGCCCCTCTCTTTCCCTCTGTGATGCTGAGAAGCTGGTCCACGCCTTTGTCTCCTCCAGGTTGGACTATTGCAATGCCCTCCTCGTCGGGATCCCTGGCAGAAGCCTTCAAAAGCTTCAGCATATTCAGAACAGTGCTGCCAGGATCCTGACGAGGACACGCAAGTTCGAGCACATCACCCCCGTCCTCCGTAAACTCCACTGGCTCCCCATACACCTCCGTATTGAATATAAGGTCTGTCTTCTCACTCACCAATGCATCCACAGCAACGCCCCAGAGTACTTACAAGACCTCCTAACCCTACAGTCCACATCACGATCCCTCCGGTCCACAAACACCCACCGTCTCAGTCAGCCAATCACACGCCTTCACTCCATGGGAGACAGGACTTTTTCAGCCGCATCACCACGCCTGTGGAACGCCCTGCCCCAAGACCTGCGGGCGCCACAGTCTGTGGAGTGCTTCAAAAAGCACCTGAAAACGGAGCTATTCAGGAAGGCCTACTGCTGATCTGCAGCCCATGTTTTAATGTATTTTAACATTTGTATATATGTGTTTTTATTCTGATGTAGCACCTTGAGATGTGCTTTGCACATGAAAGGTGCGTTATAAATAAAATCTATTATTATTATTATTAAAAATGAACGTCTAACCAGTTGAAAAAGGAACGTCTAACCAGTTGAAAAAGGAACCTCTAACCAGTTGAAAAGGAATGTCTAACCAGTTAAACAGAAATGTCCAACCAGTTGAAAAGGAATGTCTAACCAGTTAAACGGGAATGTCTAACCTGTTGAAAAGGAATGTCTAACCAGTTGAAAAGGAACGTCTAACCAGTTAAACAGGAATGTTTAACCAGTTAAACAGGAATGTCTAACCAGTTGAACAGGAATGTCTAACCAGTTGAAACAGGAACGTCTAACCAGTTGAAAAAGGAACGTCTAACCAGTTGAAAAAGGAACCTCTAACCAGTTGAAAAGGAATGTCTAACCAATTGAAAAGGAATGTCTAACCAGTTAAACGGGAATGTCTAACCAGTTGAAAAAGGAACGTCTAACCAGTTGAAAATGAATGTCTGACCAGTTGAAAAGGAATGTCTAACCAGTTAAACAGGAATGTCTAGCCAGTTGAAACAGGAACGTCTAACCAGATGAAAAAGCAACGTCTAACCAGTTGAAAAAGGAGCGTCTAACCAGTTGAAAAAGGAACATATTGTAACATGGCCGGTTAGCTCAGTTGGTTAGAGCGTGGTGCTAATAACGCCAAGGTCACGAGTGCAATCCTCGTACGGGCCATTGTTTAATTTGGGCGAAGCACAGCATTCATTTACAAGAAAATATTCCAACTTGATCTTGAATTCGCAAATTTTAACTTGGAAAAATAGAGATAATTGATCATTCCTTGTTCAAAGTAATGTTAAGGCTGAAAAGGAATGTCCAACAATTTGAAAAGCAAAATCTAACCAGTTGAAAAAGGAACGTCTAACCAGTTGAAAAGGAATTTCAAACCAGTTGAAGAGGAACGACTAACCAGTTAAACAGGAATGTCTAACCAGTTGAAAAAGGAATGTCTAACCAGTTGAAAAAGGAATGTCTAACCAGTTGAAAAAGGAACGTCTAACCAGTTGAAAAAGGAATGTCTAACCAGTTGAAAAAGGAACGTCTAACCAGTTGAAAAAGGAATGTCTAACCAGTTGAAGAGGAACGTCTAACCAGTTAAACAGGAATGTCTAACCAGTTGAAACAGGAACGTCTAACCAGTTGAAAAAGCAACGTCTAACCAGTTGAAAAAGAAGCGTGTAACCAGTTAAACAGAAATGTCTAACCAGTTGAAAAGGAATGTCTAACCAGTTAAACAGGGATGTGTAACCAGTTAAAACAGGAACGTCTAACCAGTTGAAACAGGAACGTCTAATCAGTTGAAAAATGAATGTCTAACCAGTTGAAAAAGGAACATCTAACCAGTTGAAAAAGGAAGGCCTAACCAGTTAAACAGGAATGTCTAACCAGTTGAAAAAGGAAGGTCTAACCAGATGAAAAGGAATGTCTAACCAGTAGAAAAAGGAACGTCTAACCAGTTAAACAGGAATGTCTAACCAGTTGAAAAAGGAAAATCTAACCAGTTGAAAAAGTAATTTCTAACCAATTTAAAAATTAACGTCTAACCAGTTGAAAAGGAATGTCTAACCAGTTAAAAGGGAATGTCTAACCAGTTGAAAAAGGAAAGTCTAACCAGTTGAAAAAGTAATTTCTAACCAATTTAAAAATTAACGTCTAACCTGTTGAAAAGGAATGTCTAACCAGTTGAAAAGGAACGTCTAACCAGTTAAACAGGAATGTTTAACCAGTTGAAACAGGAACGTCTAACCAGTTGAAAAAGCAACGTCTAACCAGTTGAAAAAGGAGCGTCTAACCAGTTGAAAAAGGAAGATATTGTATCATGGCCGGTTAGCTCAGTTGGTTAGAGCATTGTGCTAATAATGCCAAGGTCACGAGTTCAATCCTCGTACGGGCCATTGTTTAATTTGGGCGAAGCACAGCATAGGGACTCATTTACAAGAAAATATTCCAACTTGATCTTGAATTCGCAAAATTTAACTTGGAAAAATAGAGATAATTGATCATTCCTTGTTCAAAGTAATGTTAAGGCTGAAAAGGAATGTCCAACAATTTGAAAAGCAAAATCTAACCAGTTGAAAAAGGAACGTCTAACCAGTTAAACAGGAATGTCTAACCAGTTGAAAAGGAATGTCTAACCAGTTAAAAAAGGAATTTCTAACCAATTTAAAAATTAACGTCTAACCTGTTGAAAAGGAATGTCTAACCAGTTGAAAAGGAACGTCTAACCAGTTAAACAGCAATGTCTAACCAGTTGAAGAGGAACGACTAACCAGTTAAACAGGAATGTCTAACCAGTTAAACAGGAATGTCTAACCAGTTGAAGAGGAACGACTAACCAGTTAAACAGGAATGTCTAACCAGTTGAAAAAGGAATGTCTAACCAGTTGAAAAAGGAACGTTTAACCAGTTGAAAAAGGAATGTCTAACCAGTTGAAGAGGAACGTCTAACCAGTTATACAAGGAATGTCTAACCAGTTGAAACAGGAACGTCTAACCAGTTGAAAAAGCAACGTCTAACCAGTTGAAAAAGAAGCGTGTAACCAGTTAAACAGAAATGTCTAACCAGTTGAAAAGGAATGTCTAACCAGTTAAACAGGGATGTGTAACCAGTTAAAACAGGAACGTCTAACCAGTTGAAACAGGAACGTCTAATCAGTTGAAAAATGAATGTCTAACCAGTTGAAAAAGGAACATCTAAACAGTTGAAAAAGGAAGGTCTAACCAGATGAAAAGGAATGTCTAACCAGTAGAAAAAGGAACGTCTACAGTAAGAGCTTGACCGCCGCCAGTTTGCTGCAACACCGGGCTCGAGGTTTCAACGGTTATACCCGCTACGTCCAGCAGATGGCAGAAGTTGGTCAGTTAATATAAACGTTTCAAGGTTCAAGGAAAACAAAGCTCAAATGGAAGAATTACATATTGTAGATCAAACGAACATCAATGACCAAAGTTAATACCCTCACTTCAAAATGAAAGTGAGAATAGACCAGAACTATTAACTCATTCACTGCCATTGACGTCTATAGACGTCAAACACTTTGGAACCGATCCTGTAGGGGGCAGAGGTGACACTGTGGCCAGATCCAGGGAGGGAGAAGGGGGCATGTGGTGCTGTGAGCAGCAAACAGCCAGAGGAGCAGCCATGCTTACACAAAGGACCGCGGATCTGAGAAGCTCACGCAACTAACGCTGTCTGAGAGCCTGTTCAGTCATCAAACGGATAAATATGAAGCAGCTAGATGCCACGATGCTAGTTCTTCAGGTTTTAGTTAACATGAGACTCCAGGATCCTCGGAGGCTTCTCCCTCCCTCCTCGTCCAGCAGCAGCGGCAGCGGCTCCTCCCCCCGTCGTAATCTGGTGAGTTGCTTTTCACTTCAACATGTTGCATTTACGAGTTTATTTCTCCCCTTTGTCTAATGTACTATCAGCCCCTCCAGGATTTGCGCGCAATTGTTGATTGATGAATGATTATTGCGGGGTAAAATGCTTGATTACGCGGGACATTTTTCCAAAAGTTTCTCTTGAGTTTGGAGGCGTGTGAATCTGGCATGCAGCATTAGCTGCCAGGGAGCTATGGATGATGTTACCGTGTGGTTTATAGAAGGGACAGGGGAAGGTGATCCATGGCAGACCGGTGATCCATGATGAGCAACAAGTGTTAGATTTACCGCACCATGTTGTGCATTCTGCTGTGGTGCGTCTCACTGTTTGGAACAGGGAGAGAGAGACTCTGTTGCTCTGATCCCAGAGTCTGCGTGATTTTGCGTTCAAACATTGAGATTCTGGACGGAGTGATAGCAATCACTGGCTTATACTATAGTAAAAATAAACATAAAGTAACGTTTTTAGCGAATATTGAAGAGTTTTTTTAATCTCAATGTCATAGCTGCTGAAGCCAAAACACTTGTTATAATGTGAAAATGTATGGTGATTTTATATTTTCCTTTGTGTTGTAGATTGTTGACCCCAGGACCCCAAAATGCTGCAGCAGAGCTTGATTTGGATCAGCAGCTGACTTCTGCAGCTCTTCATAACTGATGAACTGCTGGATCCTGGATCTTGTGTTGAACAGACAAAGCTGTATGCAGCACAATATTTCAGTGCACACACACAGCGTCTCCCATTCAGCAGAGAAAATGCATGGAAGCCCGTGACAGACTGCAGCTAAAAACCTTTTTTGGTTTGACATTTCTCTCTGGGTTTGTAAAAAAAAAACGAATCTGGAAATGTATTGGGAGTGCGGAGGAAGTAGATTCCACCCCACACTTCAGCAGAGTGTGGGGTCACCCAATTACTATTCTTTATAAACTAAAGTAAAATTGTTTCACAAAGTGTTCAGAAAGTGTTATTTTTACTGTATATTTGTGTACAAAGTGTTTTTATTGTATACAAGTTGAATATTTTATGTGTACATAAGACAATCCTTTGAGTGTATTGTGTGTACACGTTTAATTTGTTTACAAATAATTATACATTAAAAATACAATTCAAAGTATTGTTTCTGTTTTGTGTCATAGTAAGAAACTGTCATACATTGTAAAATATCAGTAAAGACAAAAAAAAAACACTTTTCTGCTTGAAAATGCGCGTTTCACAAAAAGGCTGTTTTCTCCAAATCTTGGTCAGGAAACAGCATTTTGTGTGAAAGTTACCTATGTTGCACTCTCAATTGCTAAAAAACTAAAAGGGTTAGAAACTTACTTTTTTTTTTAATGAAAGCCCAGGGATAGAGCTTTCATTTGGTATGTTTCATACTTGTGTCAACCAAGGGCTCACATTTCTATGCGGTTCGGAAAAACACTAAAAATTTCCAAAATCTCTGGCAGTATGAGGGATGATGCTTTTTAAATGGCTGGCGGTGAATGAGTTAATGGCAGAGCAAAGCACATCAGCAATACCCAGACGCTCTGAAAGAATTAAAGTGCCAACAGAAAAAATGGCTATTTATCAAAAGGAAGAAATTAACAAAAGAGAAAAAAGATTATTGACTCTATATGAACTGTGGAAAAGGCAGGTGCGTGAGGCAAGAGAAATGCTTAAGAAAGATATTTCAGAGAAGGAAATGGGTGATCTCGCAGATATAATTGAGGAAAAGAGAGATGATCTGTTAGAACTATACAATGAAATAAGAAACCACATTGCACCATCATCAGACATCAGAAGAAAGACTGATGCATGTGAAGCAGTGACACATGACATTATAAGAGTCATTCTCGAAAGAATAAGCGGTGTAGATGGAGATTTTGATGCAGAGCGCGAAGGCAAACGCTTAAAGGGGCTTAAAGAACATCAGTACGCTGAGTCCATATATAGCTCAACCATAACATCAAATCATAGTCATTTTTCTTCAGCTTCGCTTCTCACTACAAAACGAGCAGATGCAGCAGCAGAACTCGCCGCAAAGGAAGCAGAGTACAAGATCGTACAAGAAGAACAAAGGCAAAAGGAGAAGATAAAAGCGTTAGAAGAAGAGCACAAAAAACAAATGGCAATCCAAACATCAGAGCTAGAACGCTTGAGAGCTGAGAAGGATGTAGAAGCAGCTCGTGCCAGGTTGGAAGCTTACAATAACGAATTACTACAGCTTGGTGATGCAAGGTCAGTAAAAAGTGAACAGGTGAGCCCAGAGCATACACCCAAACAGACTGCATCACTTCCAGCCATACCTGCACCAACGGCTCCCTCTAGTGTCAGCCAGCTTGCAGAGGCCGTGCAATACAGCATAAGATTGAACAGGCTCCCTGCACCAGAGCCAACAATGTTTAGTGGTGAGCCAATGCATTTCATTGAATGGAAATCTACTTTCACATCATTGATAGAACAAAATGGCATCTCAGCAGCAGATAAACTGTATTATCTAAAAAGATACATTACTGGCCCAGCTCGCAAATGCCTTGAAGGGACTTTCTTTAGAAATGATGAAGAGGCTTATAACGATGCTTGGGAAAAATTGACCCAAAGATATGGCCAACCATTTGTAATACAAAGGGCCTTTAGAGAGAAGCTGTCTAATTGGCCAAAAATACAATCTAAAGATGCTGAAGGACTAAGGAACTTTGCAGACTTCATTAATGCATGCACACTCACTATTCCTCATGTTAAGGGACTGCAAATACTCAATGATTGTGAAGAAAATCAGAAACTTCTGTATAAACTCCCAGACTGGATGAATGCGAGATGGAACAGGCATGTGACAAAGGCACTCATGAACGGTGGTGAGTTTCCCAGCTTCAGTGATTTTGCCTCCTTTCTATCGCTGGAAGCAGAAGTTGCGTGCAACCCAGTCACCTCCATGCATGCACTTCGCTCTACAGAAACAAACAGTGATAAAAGAATTGTAAAGGAAATCAAAAGAAACAAGGCAAGTGTATTTAACACAAACACAAATGAACAATGTGATAAACAATTAAAGATTAAAACAAGTAACAACTATTCATGCACATTATGCTCAGAGGTGCATCCACTTAATAAGTGTCCAAACTTTCTGCAAATGTCCCTAGAGAACAGAAAGAAACATGTGAAAGAGAATAAACTCTGTTATGGTTGTTTGAAGCAGGGACACAGTGCTAGAGATTGCAGACGCCGATTCACGTGTGAAACCTGCTCCAAAAGACATCCTACATGTCTTCATGATGAAAACTACAGCAACAGCCTACAAAGAGAAAGGGAAACACAAGACCAAGTGAGTACAAACAACGTAACCCAAGGTAACTTACCTGTAACCGCCACAGCCATGTCTCTCAATGTTGCAAGAGCAGAACCAACAGTCAGCACCAGCATGATAGTTCCTGTGTGGATTTCAAGCGCTACAAATCCACAAAAGGAAAAGCTAGTATACGCATTACTAGACACTCAGAGTGACACTGTCTTTATTGAACAGGATGTCACAAAAGAACTTCAGGCAGATGTGAGTCCAGTAAAACTCAAACTAACTACAATGATGGGTAAAAATGCAATTGTAAGCAGCGGAAAAGTGTGTGATCTTCTTGTGAGAGGTTACAATTCAGCAACAGTTTTAAAGCTCCCTCCTGCTTACACAAAAGACTATATACCTGCAAATAGAGAACACATACCTACATGTGAAACAGCCAAACTGTGGAGTCATTTGTCACCCATTGTAGATGAGGTTCCACCACTCCTCAGTTGTGAAGTAAGTCTTCTCATTGGGTATACTTATCCCAGAGCTTTAGCGCCCAAACAAGTACTACTAGGCAAGGACAATGAGCCATATGCTATTAACACTGATTTAGGATGGAGCATAGTTGGCAATTCTGTGCCTTGCAATGAATCATACACAGCAAGTAGTCTCTGTCACCGAGTTACTGTAAAGGAAATACCCCCATCTACTCCGACAGATGCACTGCGTATTTTAGAAAAGGACTTCAAAGACATTCAAAGCAATGAAAAAACGGTGTCACAAGAGGATCTCATGTTCCTGGTTGTGCAAACTACGGACTTAAACATTTAGCTAAAGAAAACAGCCTTCAGTTTCCCGCAGGCTCACAGTTTATCGCAAGAGACTTTTATGTAGATGATGGAGTTACAAGTGTTGAAACAGTGAATGATGCTATACAACTGGCAAAGGAAGCACGTGATTTATGTGCAAAAGGTGGACTGAGGTTACACAAATTCGTCTCTAATAACAGTGTTGTTCTAAACAGCATTCCAGTGTCAGAACATGCAACAGACGCAAAAACAAAGGACTTGACATTCAGAGAAACACAAACGGAAAGAGCACTTGGTATTTACTGGAACATAGAGAAAGATTGCTTCACATTCAATATCACATTAAAGGACCAACCCCCAACCCGTCGCGGTATCCTGTCTACAGTCGCAGCAATATACGACCCGCTTGGATTCATTGCCCCATATGTGCTCAATGGCAAAAGAATCCTTCAAGAAATGTGTCGCCAAGGAACAGGCTGGGACGATCCGATACCTGAACATCTCAATCCACGGTGGGAGAGCTGGAAAGGAGATTTGAGTAATCTGAAAAAGTTGCAAATAAACAGATGTTATGTCCCAGAAACATTTGGAAATGCAGTGAAAAGAGAATTGCATCACTTTTCCGACGCAAGCACAACAGAATATGGACAATGCACTTACTTAAGACTGATTAACAAAAACAAAGATGTTCACTGTAACTTTATTATAGGCAAAGCACGTGTCTCTCCAACAAAAGTAACCACGATCCCAAGGCTAGAGTTGACCGCAGCTGCAGTATCAGTCACAGTAAGCAACATGCTAAGGGAGGAGCTACTCTATGACAATGTAGAGGAGTTCTGTTGGACAGACTCAAAAGTCACCCTGGGGTACATAAGTAACGAAGCAAGACGCTTCCACACGTTTGTTGCTAATAGGGTGCAGAACATTCGCAACAATACCACAGCAAAGCAATGGTTTTATGTACCCACAAATGAAAACCCAGCTGACATGGCATCGAGAGGAACAACTGTAAATTAATTATTGTCATCCAACTGGCTCACAGGCCCCCAGTTCTTGTGGGAAAAAGAGATAAATCTTTTTACAAAAGAGGCAATTGAACTTCCAATAGGAGACCCAGAGGTGAGAAAAGTGCAGACGTTGAACACGCAAACAACAGACTGCAAAAGTCTCAGTGACCGTCTCAACAAGTTCTCCTCCTGGTCCCATTCAGATTCAGATTCATTTATTTGCCATTTGCAGTAAAACCACATTGGAAAAACTGTGCAAGACTACCCCAGTGTGCACCAGACGACACACACCAGAGCTCTTGCCACGGTGCCATCTTTCCGGCGCCATTCGACAAACAGTAGAATAAACAGCAGAGAGCAATAACACACAGTTACACAGACAGTTGGATAGACACATTGTGCTTTGTATAAACCACAGATTTTTTTCTCGGGATGAGCACCTCCGACTGCCGGCCCAATGGGGCTGTCAGAGGGGGGCGGGGTCAGGGAGGGGGTGAGTCGGAAACACAATGAGGAGTGGAGGGGAGGGAGTAAGATGGATAGGTAGAGGGAGGCGGGGGGAGCGGGATCCGAGCTGGAGACTGAAATAGTGTGAGTTGTTGTAGATGGGGACCTTGTTATTATGGCCTTGGCCATAAAGGAAGACTCACAGATTCGTCACTCAGAACATTTCTGTACGAAGCAGCTGCAATAGTGAACAGCCGCCCCCTAACAACAGACAATCTCAACGATCCGAACAGTTTGGAACCACTTACTCCAAACCATCTTGTCACAATGAAAACCAATGCAGCATTGCCTCCTCCAGGACAGTTCGTTAAAGAGGATATCTATGCACAAAAACAATGGCGACTAGTACAATATCTAGCGGAACAATTCTGGAGTCAGTGGAAGAAGGAGTATCTTCACAACATTATAGTCCGACAATGATGGCACAGACCCAAAAGAAACATGCAAACAGGCGACATAGTGATGGACAAAGATGAAACCCAGCCGCGATCACAACATGGAGACTTGGTAGAGTCTTGGACACTGTCACAGATAAAGATGGACTTGTGAGAAAAGTTAAAATAGCATATGCAGACAGAAATCTCAACAAAAAGGGTGAAAGATTGAATAAAGTTTCAATAGTGGAGCGCCCAATCCAGAAACTAGTTCTGCTTTTAGAAGATTGTTAAAAGCATTGTTTTTGTTATGTTATGTATTTTTAAGTGATTGCTATGCTTAAGGAATGTTAACATTATTTGTGTTATATTTTGTTTTATAAATAATTGGTGGGAGTGTAAAGGTTGATGTTTTATTATTGATAGAAAATGTTTTATTTTGACGCTTCCTGTCTCAACCGGAAGTCAAGTGGCTCGCGCAACATCAGACGGAGAAACGTTACAGTGTATGGACGTTACAAACAAACAGACGGTCTAGTAGTCAATGGTCTAAAGAGGAAACAGAGCCAATATGGTATAAAAGAAACAACAACAAAGTTTAGCAACAGTTGAGATAGAGGGAACAAGGTATGGATTGATTTTATTTGTGTAACAATTGTTTCTTTGTGTAAAATAATAGTAATTGTGATATAACGGTTTACAATGTAATTGATGCTAGATAGTATTTGGACATGATTGTAAGTTGATTTTCATTTCTGTTCTAGCTCTTACGTTGGTTATATGAATATATGGAAGGACAAAATAAACTTCATTTTAACCATCAGTTCTGGCTTCAACTATACTCTCAACTGGACGCTACAATAGATTTTAATGAAAATACTGCTAATCCAAGATCTGACAGCTGCTTGTACATAATCTGTCTTTCTGTTGAGTATAGAGCACAAAACAATAACACATGAGGCACCGTTTCAGGTTGACCACACTGACATAATCCATCACGATGCTTGCCAATGATTTCCAAATATGCTGCTAGCCCACAATGCCCCAGCCTCAATCTAACAATCTTTACCTGATTTGCCCGGCTAGATATCCACACAGGCCTAATATTTTGCACAAGAGGCTGAGAATTAAAATAATGCCTCCCCCTTTTCTCTTTCTCCCACACTCTTTGCCACTGATTTTGCACAAAACTTGTTATGATACTTATACACTCTAATTTTCCCAAACAGATGTTATACTCTATTTCCTCACACAGAAGAGACTGCTTAGCCAGTGTATCAGCTCTCTCATTCCCCACTATACCTGAATGAGATGGGATCCAGTGAAATACTACACTAGATCCCCTTGCTTCAAGCCGACGGAGGCAACACAACATCTCCAAGATTATATCGGCTCGGGCCCCAGACAGGCCAGCAGATATAGCCTGTAAAGCAGACACTGAATCTGAATAAATATAAGAGGATTCAAAATTATTCCTCTCTACGCAATCAAGAGCCCACCAGATGGCTAGCAACTCAGTTGTGAACACAGATACTGTATGGAAATATTGATGGTTGATTGTATTTTTAATCATCAGAAAATGCGTCTCAATGTTTGTCTGTGTCCGAGAGGGAGATTTAAAATGTATTTATATTAAAAGCAACGGTTGTAGGACATGAATAAAAGAGCCACTGGAGTGAGCAGGTCATTAAAAACCAGAGAATCAAAATAAAACACATTTATTACAATAACATTATTTATAATGTAATGTGTGGATACCATGAATAAAAAGTGTAGTATCTTTGTGGAAATGATGCTAAAGAGCTCATTATGGGTCTACCTGGAGGAAAGTGTGTGTTTGGTCTGTAAAGCTCAGCAGCTGCAGCACAGGGTTAAGACTAGGGCTGGGAATTGGAAAAAATGTGACAATTGGATAATATTGTGATGGTGAAATACTGTGAGTGTCTGGATGAGCTGATAATGGATACGACGTCAACTGAGTCTTTCTGGGTCAGAAGGAACAGGCAAACTCCAGGTGTACAGTTGTTTATGGAAGAGGAGGGACCAGGTTTATTGCAGACGTAGATGGTGGATTGGGAGGTTTATGCTTTCATATGAAAGGGTTACAGGTTGAGGAGGAGTATCCAGCTACTAAGGAGGGTATAGCAGCAGGTATACGGAGGTGATGAAGATGTGTATCTGTGCTTTTCTGGAATCAACACAAAAGATCAAATGTTTATTAAAAACAGCCTTTTAGACTATGAACACAGATACACTGTAATCAATGAGTGACATTACAACCGTAGCCCACAAGGGGGCGCTCTAACTCTATAAATGGTGTTACGTGGAACTTTATAATGAAAAGGCAAACTA